CCAATGGCTTTAGAGGCTTTCGCCTTTCCGATAGCCCCCTTCACTTCACAGCTGGTGAAAACAAGTGGTGAACTGTTTATTTGTGCTTGTGCGGCCTCCTGGTCAATCGACGTTTGGCCCTGTCTACCGAAGGATGCAGTGTGAATTGCCTACTGAGGTAGGTTGCGCATTTCTTCGGGTCGGACGAAGCACGACCTTCGAATGAGATTTCCACTCTGTCATCACGCTTCGTTGGGTTAGACAAGGACCTCAAGGTTGACCAGAGCTTACTCACACCCGATGTGAAGTTACAGACCTTCAAGTGTTCCTCCCAATTTTCCGCTTGTGTTGATTTACCAGTTGCCGAATCTCCAAATTAAGGTCCCTCAGACGAGGGTCCGCGGGATCGAACTGGCGTAAGTGGTCACGCTTCNTGAGATTTCCACTCTGTCATCACGCTTCGTTGGGTTAGACAAGGACCTCAAGGTTGACCAGAGCTTACTCACACCCGATGTGAAGTTACAGACCTTCAAGTGTTCCTCCCAATTTTCCGCTTGTGTTGATTTACCAGTTGCCGAATCTCCAAATTAAGGTCCCTCAGACGAGGGTCCGCGGGATCGAACTGGCGTAAGTGGTCACGCTTCTTTGCTAGTACAGCTGCTTCGGCCGGGAAATTTGGGCGGACTTCCGCGATACGTCCGGACGGGATGAAGCGAGCCGCTCCGGCAGTGACTACCCATAAGTAAAAACTAGAAAATTGTTTTTATGAAAAAAGCTAGTTTCCCGTACATACATAAGTACTTATCATCTTCGTTGCGACACTAAACTTGAATTTAAATTTGTAGAAAATTCTTTGAATAGGACTACTTTCAAGCATTTAATCAATTTGAGCAGATTTTGATGAATCTGTGCTGCAAACAAGAGGGCCACAAATTCGCGCACAAAAAGCATAAATCGTCGTATAATTACAGCCTGTTAAGCTGGCGACTGAGGCGACTAGCTGTGCAGACTAGCTATGCACTTAAATTATTGCGCGTTAAGAAAAATACTAAAAATGATTAAAAGCAAAGCGAAAGAACATTTCTGAAGAAATAAATTGTTGTTGCGTATACCTATTAAAATAATTTTCTTAGGAACACTTTTCTCTTTTAAATATACCCATAGAAAGTATAAAAGTCGCGCCTCCAGTAAGTCGCGTCGGCGCCAAAATAATAAATGAGCGCAAATTAGGAAACAGCGGCAATGAGAAAAGATTGAAATCTGTACGAGTATGTCGAACGTGTGCGCTAACTGGTTTCAAAGAGAATTTTCCTTTCAAAGGAGTATATTTATTGTTTCTAATTGTAGGCATTAAGCGAAGACAGCTGTCTACGTTGAAAAGTACATAAGTACATAAGTAATTAAGAGCAAAGCGAAAACATAAAATCTACTTAAAAGAGCTCAAAAGTAAAAGGAAGAAGACATAGAAGTATTCTGAATGTTGTAAATTGTCAAACAATTTGGTCAAATTTGATTTGATTTGAATACGCATTAAAGCTTTTTTTCACTATTTGTAATTAATGCATTTTTCATTGTGCTGTACAGCAAAGGAATAAACTAATTTCGCTAGGCACAAATCGTAGGCAGATTTATTTAGGGATACAGTTGCATAGATATATTTCCGATCTGCCGAACGGTGATGAGCTGGTTTAATTTGCAGCAGTCTGATAGACAGGTTCACGAAGACAATTGAAGTGAGTACTGATTTTTTTATTTGAATTTAATATGAAAACTGGTGAAACCGGCAGCAAGAGGCTTGTTAGGTTTTCCAAGTGACAAATGTTAATGGTGGCGAAGATATAAGCCGCCCTATTCTGTCCGCGAGCTCAAGTAATGAAATTCCGGATATCACCTGGATTGATTTCCTGTCCAAACATACATACAGTGACTCAAACAATGACCACGTGTTGATTTCCCTTATATATTCGTAATGTTTTCGAATTTTTAGAAAATTTTTAGGTATGCAGTTTTAGAGTCCATATAAATAAGGCTAAAAAATCGCGTTGATTTTTGAGAATTTTTTTTTTCGGTGACGGATTTTTAAACTTTTTTTCATATAAGTATGAATTTCTTATGCAATAAAACGCGGGAGACCGTCAGCAACAAAATTTCAAAATATCAACGCAAGTTTTTGTAAATTGCGCTTGTTATATTTAAAAAAAAAAACCGAAAAAGTAGCCTCCAAAATTTTTCTAAAAAATCAGAATAAAAAGTTGACATATGGATTAAATTTTTTTTATAAAGTTTAAAACTGTTATTTACACGGTTTTGGTTAAAGTTTAGACAATATTTTTATATATAAAAATACCAAAAAAAAAATTAGCTGGAAAAATATTACGAATATTTAAAAAAAAGACAACACATGGTCATTTGTTTGAGTCACTGTATGTACATTAGAGAGGTTCAAACTTCTTTTATCGAGATAGCGTTTGGGGCAGCATCCAAAATTTTTCCTCTTGCCGAAAAAGGTGCTGGTACCAAACCTTACGTTTCTAAGTATAAATTTAGAGGGTGCTCATGATGCTCATATTTTACTCTAGAAGTATGGTGCACATATGTATATTAATCAAACAATTGGTTAAGTACCTTAGAAAGATTTCAAATTTAAATTATTTAAAAAAATCGCTTTTTATAAAAATCACCCAGTTCCACAGCGTTCCTGTAGCACATTTCAGGGTCATTGAGCACCCTGTATTAGTTGCAGTAGAAAACTTAAAGTTGGAATAGATGTTACAAATATCAAAAGGAAAGAGTTAAAGGTGTGCCCCGTTTTCTAGGATGAAATTTTTCCCCCCCATACAAAAAGTTTACCACTCTAATGTACATACATATAACTTTTTTCAAAAACAATAATAGATCTAACTTTAAATTGAATGTTTTATTTTAGTTACTGAGTTAAAACATTTATCAAGTTCAAGGCAACAACTTCAAATCGCTATATATAAAAGACGAAATGGTAACCAACTTTTACAAATGCTTTGGTATTTGTTCATATTTTGACATCTTTTAATGAATGCAATTGGTAACATTCCCATAACTTTTACAATATTTCTTCTTCCACGTGACTCTTTTTTCCAATGTTGACTAACGACCTTGGCTAAACTTAAATTTTAAATTTCCAGAGCTAGCACAATTGCAAAGACTTCAAAGACTTCAAACTGCCAATGGCAAGTGTTATCTTCTTCTTCCTTTGCTGTGTACCACAAAGGCTTATCACTCGTTTGTAAATGACATGCAGGAAACGTTTTTACTTTAGAGCAATTTTGGAAACTTTTTATTTTATGGGATGCACGAAAGAGGAAAATTATTCTTTTTTAATATTCGACTTTGTTTCTACGTTGCGCGCACATATATTTTTTTTTATTCTTTGTTCTTCCTCAAAGTAAACCATGTTTGCTTAGTCTTGCTCATACGTGTTGAAACACACACAAACTCACTGTAACATTTTTGTATGAATATGTCGATTTTTATGATGCTAAAGCTTCAGAAGCCGCCATGGCGTTTGGGTAACGCTCATACAAGCATACATGCATACATACATACAGTGACTCAAACACGTTGATTTTTTCTAGATATTCACAATGTTGTTCAAAGAAATTGTCCAAGCTTTAAGCAAAACCATATAAATTAAAGCTTTAAACTTTATAAAAAATCTGAATCTTTATTTTTTTCAGATAAAGAACAAGTTTCAGGCGCAGAAAAATCGCGTTGATATTTTTTTGTGATAACTTTTTTAACTTTTAATATCTAACGAGTGCAATATTTAATATCTAGGCATTGAAATGACTATTTTTTAACGTAATGACACGAATATTTTATAATGCCAAACTTTGTCATTACAATTATTTGCCATTTAATGCCTAGTGGAAATTCAGCATTAGAAATAAATTTTATACAAATTGTGTTTTTTTTTTTTTAAATTTGGAACTGGAAGAAATACCACGAATTGAAGTCAACCTAATGAACCATGTCCTTTTGATTTCTTAATTGGTTTCTTAAACATTATTAGTATAGCATTCTAATGACATATAGAACATTCACACGATACTTCAAAATAATAGAAGACAAATAACGCACTTACACTTAAGTGATATTAATAACTAATGCTGAGCTCAGTTTCAATTATCTATTCTCTTTGGCATCACTTACTAAAAATAATGGCGCCCCAGTTGCATTACGCGATTCCCCGAATTGCTACATAAATATATTGTCTTTCGTTGCTAAACGCTATTAAAATAAACGGTGAAGATGTCACAAACTGCATATATTTTTTGGCATTTGCTTTTCATAATAAATGGTCAATTGACCTTCAGCGCTTCTCCGGTTGACTCATTGGCTCATTGACTTATAAGCTTGCCGAGTATTTATTTATTTGCTTTACTTTCTGTTTTGCTCAATTTGTTTTATTTGCTAACTCACATTTATCCGACCATTTCAATTTGGTGTTGAATTATTTGTCTAGGTTCTTATGCGCACTATTATGTTCTCATACGTGCTATGTATGTATGCATGTATGTATATTAGGGTGTTCAATTGTTCGCTTTTTTCCAAAACCGATTTTCGAGATATTCGAAAAATTGCAATTTGAAGCAAACCGGTTCTCGATTTTAAAATTAAGAAATAACCGGTTTTATTCTACATAGATTACATAGAGTGAAAATGCTTATGCTAGTATAAAGTCATAAACAAAAATTAAAAAAAAAAAACACTATTAACAGTAAAGATAGATTTTGCGTAGAAAAGAGCAAAGCAAAATAAGTAAAATGTTTTTTTTATTTTTTAGTGTTTTTTAGACCAAAAGTAAAACGAATAAAAATTATGTGGGGAGTCTACTAAGAGGAGTCTACTAAGACCACCGCCCACATCTGCCATTGTGTTGATATAAATTTTTTTCAAGCCAGAAAATATTCATTCTTTGACAATTGAATGGATATCATATATTTATTGACATTAAGGTAAACTCGATTTCTAATTTCTTTTAGATATTTGATATAATGTGGAGTGATCCCCAAGTTGGAGATGGGTGCAAGCCAAATTCACTGCGAGGCGCTGGCACCTATTTCGGTCCAGATGTAACTAAAACTTTCCTAGCAAAATACAAGTTGCAATTCTTGGTGCGATCACACGAATGCAAACCGGATGGACATGAATTTACACACGATGGACAGGTATGGCAAATGTATAGAATCGAAAAATCTGCGGTCGAAAAACAAGAACTCTTAAAACAAAATTGAATTTATGGTTTTTGTGTTTTTTTTTTATTGACTTAATAAAGTTTATATTTATTACTTATACATGAGCTTGAGGCTGGTTTTTAATGAAAAATCGGTCGATTTATTTTTGTGCCCGGTGGAATTTGGACGATGGCTTTCAGAAGTACAAAGGTCTCAAGCTCAAATATAATAAGCAAATATAGATGTTTTTTTAATATCAAGACTTTTCAAAAAATAAGTTGGTTTTCTCCTTAGGTGATAACAATTTTCTCCGCATCCAATTACTATGCAGTGGGTTCGAATAGAGGCGCCTACTTAAAGTTCGGACCACAATTGGACACGCAATTTGTACAGTACATTTCGGCGGCGTCAAAGACTTCCAAACTAACATTCCGACAACGTGTCAGCATTGTTGAGAGTTCGGCGTTACGTGAATTGGGTGGTAGACTACATGCTAGACGTGATTTACTGGAAGAAGAGTTTTCGAAACTTGATCCCAAGAATACAGGTACGATAAAATTAATGAAACTGTAGCTCATTTTATTGTTGTTGGTATATTCTGCTATGCTGCTAATATTTTTACAACCAGGCGCAATAACGATCAGTCAGTGGACGGATGTTATGGAGCGAGTAACACAAATGTCTTTGCCCTGGCGTCTAATGCGTGACAGATTGGGACCACCATTCTCTGATCGCGAACCAAATCTGGTTAACTATTATATGACTTTGGAATTGCTCGATACGGATGTTATAGTAAGATGATTGAAATTAAAAGCAAAGCTGATAAAAAAAATGCAGTTTATACGTTTTGTTTTAATTACTATTTAGATTGAAGAAGCTGAAGCATCGACCAGTGTCACTGATGCCCTATATAAACATAAGGGCAGTCTAATAACTATATTCCACATACTAGACAAGGATCATTCGGGTAAGTTTGGACAGCATAACACAGTGCGACAAAAAAAAACAAAAAATTTCAAAACACGCAAAAGTCGAAATATTAACGAATCTAAAGGCAAAGTATAGTATAACCGCGTTTTTAGTTTTTCTCCCTTACGTCAGGATTTCCTTTTAAAGGACTTTCAAATTTCAAAGATATGATCAATTAAAAAAAAGCCTTTCAAAAATTCAGTGCAATGTAGAATAACAATACGGGAACCAAAATATTGAAAATTTTTAAGGATGTCCAGGGAAACAATTTTAAAGGCACATTTTCCATACTTATTCCTGCTTGCGCACCTTAAAAATTAAGTTTTTTAATTCTTCAGAATTTTCTCTTATATTCAATACAATTTTTGTTATGCTATTTTGCGCTATGTTTTTTAAATGATTTATTAAAGAAATCGTTTATTTAAAATTGCAAAAACCTTAAAAAAATCCTGACGCCAGAGAGAAAAATTAAAAACGCAAATTCTTTATATTTGGTCCCTAGTGTTGCACGGTGTAATGCATACAATAATACTGATTTGAATTCTGTGATATGTATGTACATATTTTTTCTCAATCATATAGGCCAAATATCATTAGATGAGTTTGGAGAAGCTGTAGATTTGCTGCGGCAATACATGCCTTCGGCAGGAACCAGGCAGGAATTGCTGCACATGTGTGAAATGATGGACATCAATAAGGATAGCTTTGTGGATCTCAACGAGTTTTTGGAGGCATTCCGTCTATGCGATCAAGCACGCAAGCAACCGCGAACATCAAAGACGAGACTATCAAGGAGTAAGTATTTCAAAAAAATATATATATAATTGAAAGTTATAGTAGCGATGATATTTGGCCATAATTTTGTCTCAGTGAATGCAGTAGTATGTACAAAAAAAAAGAGAGAGAAAAGGCTAAGGAAGTTTTTTTATTTGGGGTTTAAATTAGTTTTATTCCAATGCGAATTAACATCAACCATTTTTTCTTTTGCGTAAAAATTTAAAAGTTTTCTTATGCATAATTATTTTGTATCCATTTCAGCTAATAACTCATTGCGTGTTGCTGAAATTGCTGAAACTTTGTCGAGCCACAAGATTAACGAAACCGAAGCAGATATCGATCCTAGGGATCATGTATCAATCACTTACAATGACAAAAAATAAACAGTAATCAAGCTGTTCACTCACTTACAAGATTTATAAAGGAAAATTAAATTAACTGAAATAAAAATAATAATAAAACTACTAATAATTTTTTAATTTATACAAATTGTAAATGTATATATAGTATAAACAAATATACATACAAACATATATTCCTATTTGTATATTAAATAATTGATTTCGCTAAGCAACAGCCAAATAATTTCTTATTAACACTCGCACTAATCAATGATCTAGTTACTCTAGTCATCTCTAGTTACTAAATCTGTATATGTATGTATGTATATTAAAGGTTTATTTATTCATTGATTTTCAATAAAAGCAGCTTGCTTCACATAATTAAATTCTTACTCCGTCCAAATACTATATATAAGTAATTTGCATAATTTATTTATCAAAATATATTAAATTAGAAAAAAAATAACATTTGTAAAATAAATTAACAAAAAATACAAAAACTAAGTTTTTCACATGTTTTATAGCTGCATTAATGTCCATTTTAATGAGTAAATATTTATTTTAAAATAATTTTATTTGTAAATCAAATACGCAATTGTTATAAACGCTATATAGAAAAAAATAATTGTGGCAGTAAAAAGTTAATAGCTTTAAGTGCGTTAATATCAAAAATGCGACAAAAAAAAATACGGAATACACCGGGAACAAAACTTAGTTGGCGGTTGTAGCAAGGGTCGAGTACAACATGGGAATAGGTTTCTTATAAGCCTCCATTTTTTTTTTAATAAAAAAATGAAATTTTCAAACTTGACGCACTCATCTACTTAGTAATATAAGGGCTATAAGATTTCTTAATTCTTCGTAACTGTCATTTAAATGAATGTGACCGGTGGGACACTGAAAATCCCTCGATTTCAGAGATAGGAAAATTTCCAGTCAATGCGCCTACCAGAATCGGACCTCCCAGTAGCGCAAGCTATGGTTTTCCTCCAGCGTACGTTGAGTTGACACGAGGCACATCGGTCAAGCGAGCTCGCTTTCCTTTTCCTTTCCTTGGCGATATTGCCACAAGCGTGTCGTCTCTGGCAAGTTCATCAGCCGCACAGTTTCCTACGATCTCACCATGGCCTGGCACCTATTTAAGCTAACACGGTAATAATCCAACGCGATCGCTAGCAAGTTGAGACATTACTTTTTTTAATGAAAAAATAGAGGGTTAAGAAGCTATAAAAAACCTATTTCCATGATGTACTAGACCCTTCCAACAATATGTATACAATACGTTTTGTTTCGGGTATATTTCTTTTTCTTAGCACTCTGTATTTAATACTCCATACACTGCAACAAATTTCTAAATTAAGACATTCGAAAATAGGCAAATTTTGTTGTTAACAATTTGTAAATAGCATTTTGTTAATGGAGTAGATGGTTTTAATATATGTACATATATATAAAAACAAAAACAAATAAAAAATATATGTACAACAATTATGCATTCATAATATATCGAGGGCAATCACCAATTTTCGCAAAAATAAACTTTGTATATAAAAATCCACCTTAGACTTATCTGTCAAAGATGCTTACCACATGTTAGTAGAATTAACTACATATTTGATTGCAAAGCTAGAAATAAAATCATTAATCAGAGGTAAGCCTCAGAGAAACTCATACAAGAAAAAAAAAACAAAACGGGTTCAAATTTTCTTTTGCCATTTATTTCTGTTCAGTTAAAAATTAGCATATTCCCACACTGCTTTTAATCTTTAAAATCTTTTTCAAAGTTACATATATTGTGGATTTGCCTTCAGTTTATTTTGCGAACATTTCTTTATTGAAAATCGTAAATTTAGTCGTAGCACCAATGGCACGTGCACCCCTATTTGGAGATAGCGACTCAAAAATTTTGGATGTAAATTAGTCTAAACTCCGCAACGGATCCTATGGCCCAGCCTTCATTAGTATCTGCGCTTCCCGATAACATTCATTAATAGACTTTTTTTTTTTAACCTTTTTTGAGTTATTTTTGCCATTAAGCATAAATGGAGTCCTATTGAAAAGTCCGTGGTTTATTTTTGAACAACGTTTTGTTGAGCGGTTTTGTAACCTTCCAAAAAAGTCCATTTGTGACACCTTCTCTAATGCTTTGACACTGTTATTAAATAAATGTCGCCGAGT